TATGAATACATGCAATACCTTGTGACCCTGATATCTAGATTCTGGATATAAAATTAGAGTTCTCCTTCTGGTCTTCATATTATGCTTACTGTGTATATGTGGACCACTTCTGAAGACTATCTCAGCGACACTCAAGGAGTGCAAACAAGGAGCTTAAAATCAAACAGGTAATAGATTAATAGCTGGGGCAGGAGAGTGAGGCAAAGAAATCAAGGGGGGAAAGGTCAGGCTGGTTGCAAATGAGAATCACTGTTAAAAGGCAAAGTCAAAAAAGATACACAGAGTAGCTGAGCTTAAAAGGGGAATTTCAAGGAAGAGCGATTCCAAGTTACCTTTTGATTTTTAAAACAGTGACCTCTCCTTTATTCATGATATTCATTAGGAAGAACAGCAACAACGACATTTGGAATTGGAATTTGGAACAATAACATTCTATTAGTAATGAGAAAAGGCATCATATCAGTGTAGAAAAGCAAAAAATTATTATAAAATAAGTTAAACAAAATTGCTCCATTTTCAATACAGTATATAGAGAGATCACTGAAGTATTTTGTAAAGAAGCCAGAGAAACAAAGCTCCAGTTTTACATATGATGGTTGAAAATATATTTACGCATGACTCTGCATTCATCTCATTATTCACAGGTTTATTTGGCACAGAATACAAGAATTTAATTTCATAATCTAATTACAAGGGCTGTGCAAGTCTTCAAAGGTGCATGTGAAAATCCATTTCTGGCAAGGGAAAATAGTGGCAAATGTGCTTTGATCATTGAGGTACAGATGTGTGCTGGCCTTTGATCATGTGTCATCAAGTCAGTTTTGACTCTTAGAGACCACATAGATAGATTTTCTTCATGATGAACTATCTCTAACCTGGTCCTTCAGCTCTTCCAACGGTGCTCCCATCGCCACTGTAACTGAGTCCCTCCATTTTGCTGCTGATCACCCTCTTTCCTTCCACCTTTCCTAGCATTAGAGCCTTCTCCAAAGAATTGGGTCTTCACATAATGTGTCTAAAGTAGGATAATCTGAGCCTGGTCATTGGTGCCTCAAGTGAGAGCTCTGGGTTGATTCGTTCGATGATCCATCAGTGTGTTTTCTTGGCTGTCCATGGTGTTTTCAGGAGTCTTCTCCAACACCAAAAGTGTTGATACTCTTCCTATCCTGCATCTTCAAGGTCCAACTTTTGCTTCCAGGAAGTATCACAGGGAAAACCACGGCTTGCACTAGTCTGATCTTTGTACATCACCACATCTGAATATCTTCCAAGGCCTTCATGGCTGCTGTACCAAGTGCTAGTCTGCAGTGCATTTCTTGAGCTAACTGAAGCAAAATTTGCTCAGTTTGCCCAACGCTACCAATTTCCTGGGTTTTTTTTTAAAGCACTGGTAGTAAAAATGGGAAAGGATTTCTATTGCTCATCTTACTTGAAATAGATGTTGACAAATCTAGGGTGTAAAGAAGCTTGGGATCTATATTTAGGAAAAGGTTATCTGATAATATCTGGCAGATTCTTTGGCAGCATGGGAAAGGGTGGTTATGCATTCTGCTTACCAAAGTCTTCTCCGTGCTTTGGTTTTCTTTCTGGGGCCTCATCTGGCAAGCAAGGTTCCTACACCCGACTGTTGCATTGATCTTTCAGTTCAAGCTTGGTTTGAGGTAGGATGCATTCAGGCCAAGATTTAAGTGCTACAGCTTCTTCAGTCCTTTGCTAGAGATGCCCCCAATGAAGCTAAGTGAGAGCGAATGGGTTAAAATGCAACATTACTTTCAGCACCTGAGATGGCTAACAGGTGGAAATCAAGGCACGTGCCCTCTGACTTGTTTGTTATAATTTGTAGGAAGATGTCTGGAATAAAAATGTCACAAGAGAAGGAAAAAGTCTCCGTTCCTATGGCTATGTTGAATGAGCCCCAGGAACCTTATGCTCCCGGATACGCTGCTTCATGTCCCCCGAAGCTCTACGCACCACAATCCTACACTCCAGGATTGTATGCACCGCAATCCTACAGCTCAGAACAACAAAACTACCCTCCTAAACAATATGCATCAGATTCATACACACCCAAGTCTTCAGGATCTGAGCATCATCTCATCTCAGGTAAGTTACAAGTACATTCCCAGTGGTTTGGATCAAAGATGGAGGAGATTCAGTTTTGGGCTTGATTGGAAATGACCCGTGAAACCCAGTGCAACTCTTTTCTTCCTCCCTCCTCATCCTCTTCTCTCGGTGCAGATGCTTGCTGCTATGACTGTCCATCTCCACCACCTTATACCTGTGAAGAAGTGCCTTGTGACCAAGTAGGACCAGGTACGCTCCAGAAACTTACATGCTGAATATTGATTCATATAATCCTGGGAAGGAACACTGTAAGATGTCTTGTGCTCAGATGTCCAAGTAGTTACTCTTACTCTTTGATGTATGTTCCCAAACACTGAGGGTTAAGGTTTCTAATAGACTTTTCACGGGACAGTCATCAGTACACCGATGATACCAACTATACCTTTCTGTCCCTGGTGACTTAAGCGATGCTGTGAATGTCCTATCCCGGTGCCTGGAGGCTGTGAGGGTCTGGATGGGGAACAACAGGCTTCAGCTGAGCCCTGGCAAGAGTGAGTGCATCTGGGCTTTGGGGCCCTCCAGCACAGGGACTATGCCATCTTTGGTACTGATGGGGTTGTACTACCCCAAGCGCAACTTGACCCAGTGCGCAACTTGAGGGTCCTTTTGCACAGCTTCCTGTTGTGCGCCAGTTGCACCCATTCTTGGACCAGGAGGCTCTGCTCACAGTCAACTCCATCCACTACCACAGTCACTCGTGCCCTGCTGGGTTATTTGAGGGACCGCCTCCAACCGATTACCTCTGCCTGTCCCATCAGGTCCGGCAGAAGAGGTACGCTGCGGGTCCCGTCTCCAAAAGAGTTTCATCTGGCGGGACCCAGGAGGCAGGCCTTTTCTGCCGTGACACCCACCCTGTGGAACATTGTCCTTCACAAGGTGAGAATGGCCCCGTCCTCGCCATCCTTCCAGAGGTCCCTTAAAACATGGCTGTGTCAGCAGGCCTGGGGATCTCAAGGCGATGGTGAATCGATGAGATGGCTGCATTGTTTTTAACATCAGTTCTCTCCACTATCTTGTTAATAATAATATTGCTGATGTTTTTTAATTGTAGGGTTTTTTTTAACATTTGGATTTTACGATTGTTTTTATTTTAAGCTGCCTAGAATCCCTTTATGGTGAGACAGGCGACTATATAAATGTGAGAAATAAATAAATAAATAAATAGTCCAGAATCCTGGAAATACAAGATGTCTCACTCATGGGCATTTGCAGGTGGGCAAAGTGGGTTGCCGGTGTCCACATGCATGCGCATGATGTAATCATGGCTTATTCTGGACAGCTAAGATCTCACGCTAGACAACTCCCTGGAGAGGACAACATCCAGGTCTCCCTGAATTTCCTGCTGAAGGTTCTTAAGAAGGTTCTTCTCAAGGTTCTTCAACTGAAGGCTCTCATTTGGGAAGGGCCCAATGGTGGGGATTGGGATTGGACCAGGAAGAGTCTCAGCACATGTTAACTACCAGGGGATTGCAAATCACCCATTTATCAAGAAGGAAACTTAGGAGCTGAAGTTGCTCCCTTTGTTGGTGTTCCAAGGAAACCCTGGACTGAACTTGTTCAACATGTTTCTTTTCTATGAATGCTGGTGGGGCCTCTGGGAGGCCCAGAGGCATTTGTATAAATAAAGCTGATGTATCGCCCTTACTCTTTTTAATCAAAAGACTCTTATGAAAACATTTAAGGACAGATACAGCAGAGCACCTGCCCGGAACAGGTTGAGAGAGGTGTCCAGGGATGGACTGGCGCCCAAGGCCATAGCATTCAGGTTCCCCTGTTTCCAGCATGGTGCAAATTGTCAACCCATTCTTATCTCACCACATTGTTCTACGGCCTTACATGCATCCCTCGGGGTTGCTTACAATTTGAAACCCTTCCTCCCATGTCTCACAGTCCGAGAACCATAACAGCAATCACAATAAAGTCACAACTATTATTCACTGTACAGTCTCTGTCACCTCCAGCGGGTGACCTCTGTGGCCACTTCCATGTAGTTTTGTCGGCAGCATGCAAATGTGGTTGGCCATTGTCAGGGCGGCCTGAAGTTGTGGGACCGCCGGCGGTCTCCCATCTAAGGACTACCAGGTCCAACCCCTTGCAGCTTTTTCTGGATCAGCCGGTCTTGGCAGTATCTGTAGGATACTGTGAGACTTAACAATTCGAACCTAAGCAGAAGTCCTGTCTACCCTGAAAAGCTCTGGGCGTAATAGATGAAATGCACCTTGATGGCTGTCACCTCTCTGTCCTGTAGTCTGCATGGACTCTTCCCCACCTGTTGTGGTTGCGGGGATCTTCTCGAGTAAACCCGCCTCCACCATCTGCCCCTGCTGCCGACAGATCATCACCACCGAGGTGGTCTTCCGCGTGGGATCCCTAACCTACGCACTCTGCACCGGCATGTGTATGGTGGGGTGAGTGTCCGTGCCTGATGGCTTTGTATTTATTTGTCTTTGATTTGTCCATAGAGCTCATCAGCTAGGTCAGAGTAGCCAAGCTCAGGCCCAACTCTCTTCCCCATGTAGAGACTGGAGTCTTTGCAGGGAGGGTCAAAAAAGTCAAGATGGTGTCCACACCCATGCACTCAGCCCCACTCTTTTTCACCTGCATGGTGATGTCTTGACTTTTTTAATCCCCTCCATGGGACAGCCATGAAATGGAGGCCTGAGGCCAGTGATGGGAAATGTTTTGGTAGCTGAATGCTACCCAGACGTTCATTGGGCATAGCCCAGAGGATGCCATGGGTGGGACGCTGGTGCAGTGGGGTAGACTTGGGGCTTTCTTTTGGCTTTTCTGAGTTGGTAACCCAGGGGCTCCCACAGGGGTGCAAATAAGGAAAGCAATACTGCACCTTGGTGACGGAAGCTCCACCCCTTTGGAACTGCACTGTGACATTTGCATACAGGTACCAAAGGGGCGGAGCTTGTGAAGCTGAATTTGCCCTGTTGTGGAAACCACCGGATGCCTCTGATCTGACCTTGGTCCTCCTAGCCCAGGGTTTCTCAACCTCAGTCACTTTAAGGTGTGTGGACTTCAACTCCCAGAATTCCCCAGCCAGCATGTGAGGACTTCAACTCCCAGAACTGGCTGGAGAATTCTGGGAGTTGAAGTCCACACACCTTAAAGTGGCTGAGGTTGAGAAACCCTGTTCTAGCTCTTATGCAACCTTGGGAAGACTGCTGCTGTAAGGCGCTTACCATCTATAGAGATAACGCTGATGAAGTGGGCGGTTTCTTCAAGGAGGCCATATTTTGACCTAGTTATACTAAAATCTCGGACAGCCTTCTCCAATCAGGACGGGGACTGCAGCCATAAAGATTGGGAACTCCGGAACTGGAGGGTCAACTGCAAAGCACCCGGTTGAGGTTGCAGTCGGCCAGTGTTGTCCAAACTTGGCCACTTTAAGATGAGTGGACTTCAACTCCCAGAATTCCCCAGCCAGCATGTGAGGACTTCAACTCCCAGACTTCCCCAGCCAGCATGTGAGGACTTCAACTCCCAGACTTCCCCAGCCAGCATGTGAGGACTTCAACTCCCAGACTTCCCCAGCCAGCATGTGAGGACTTCAACTCCCAGACTTCCCCAGCCAGCATGTGAGGACTTCAACTCCCAGAATTCCCCAGCCAGCATGGGGAAGTTGAAGTCCACTCATCTTGAAGTGGCCACGTTTGGACAGCACTGCAGTAGGCTGTCTAAGATCTAGAGTTGCAGGGAATGGGTAGGAGGAATAATTCTGTATTTATAGTTTTATACCTTTGGGGACTACGCCATCCTCATACTGCTGGATCACTGGGGATCGTCCTGAGCCAGTATGGATGAGGGTTGGACTGTGCATATTTGAAATGGATTTCTTGGCGTAATAAAAATCCTTCTCAAGTCTTCGTCTGTCTCCCTCTTTTCTTACGTTGCTCTCAGCTGCTGCCTGGGCTGCTGTCTGATCCCCTTCATGAGCAAATGCTGTAAGGACGTTGACCATTATTGCCCTTGCTGCCGGTACCACATCTACCGATACAAAAGGATCTAGCTGCTCTGAAGAAAAGCCGACCCAGTCATCTCCTCGGAAATTAAGTCAGAGCAAAGGCGTTCCCAGCTTGGGTGGGTTCACACGGTCCATCCTGGATTGTCCTTATGTCTGGAACTGGATTGCACTGCGGGATTGGCTCCCTAGTTTGCAGTGAAACTGACTGGGACTTGGCTACTGTCAGTGTTTGCCTTCAGCATTCTTCACAGGCGGTCGACGACCTGCTCTAGGGTTTTCTCAGTTTTGTTTACCTGGTGTTTGTGGTTCGTGTGTTAGCTCCGCTTTGGTTTTTCTTCTTCAAACCATTTCATGCGCTTTATTGCCAAGGCTGCTTAAATCCACCGGTGCCTTGGTCGCCATGGATCTTCTCCGAACACCATGTCAATGATGCGCCACTTAGGTCCTACCGAGCATCTCACAGCTCCGTCCCCACAAACATCCCTTAAAATCTAAGCAGTCGCTTCCCTTTCATGGCCTGATAGCATGCAAGTGACCACTGTTTCATGGTTTATTTCATGGTGGACTGAGAAATCCTACATTTCCCCCCTGACCAACTTTCATTTGGTCGGATAAAAGAAACTTCAGAGGAATTCACAGACATCACTCCGTTTCCTGGCCCACCGAGGGGTCCAAACAGTGAAGATGAAGTCCAAAACCATGTAATGAATGCCCCTCCCTTTACATGCCTTGGAATGCATTTAAAAAGAGGGTGGGGCTTGGATTGCAAGGTTGCGGGTGCCATCTTGACTTTTGGGACCCCCTCCCTGTAGAAAACCCTGACTGCCCATATATTTGGGACGGACATTTGAAAAGCTGTTTGCTCCAGCTCTACTTTTAGGAGGTTCAGTGTTAAGCATCGGGACTCTTTACATTGATGGGGTAATGAGACCCATTGGGTCACTGGACGGGGGAGCAAGACACTTTCTTTGGGTGATGTTCTATCTTGTTGCACCGGTTAAAGAAACGCTGCCTGTGTTGTTCCCTACTATTGTAGGGAGATGGCAGCCATGGGTGGGTGCGAGAAAGGCCCTCAAGAGCAAAGGAGGTGGAGGGCATAAGTAGATATTGGTTTCTGGTCCTCTAGGACAGTGTTCCTCAACCTTGGCAACTTTAAGACGGGTGGACTTCAACTCCCAGAATTCCCCAGCCAG